GACCAGCCCCCTGCTGAAAAAGTTTGCTGACCCCTGCACCAGGTTGTGGTATATGGTTGGCTGCAGGGCTTGTGTGAACTCCTGAAGTCAGGCAAAGGCAGGGTGGATAATAATAATAATAATTTATTATTTGTACCCCGCCCATCTGGCTGGGTTTCCCCAGCCACTCTGGGTGGCTTCTGACAAAGACCAAAAATACACTAAAATGTCACACACTAAAAACTTCCCTGAACAGGGCTGCCTTCAGATGTCTTCTGAATGTCAGGTAGTTGTTGATCTCTTTGACATCTGATCGGAGGGCTTTCCACAGGGCGGGTGCCACTACCGAGAAGGCCCTCTGCCTGGTTCCCTGTAGCTTTGCTTCTCGCAATGAGGGAACTGCCAGAAGGCCCTCAGAGCTGGACCTCCGTGTTTGGGCTGAACGATGGGGGTGGAGACGCTCCTTTGGGTATACTGGGCCTTTGAGGCCATTTAGGGCTTTAAAGGTCAGCACCAACACTTTGAATTGTGCTTGGAAACGTACTGGGAGCCAATGTAGGTCTCGGCGGCAGCCCCCAGTCACCAGTCTAGCTGCCGCATTCTGGATTGGTTGCAGTTTCTGGGTCACCTTCAAAGGTAGGCCCACGTAGAGCGCATTGCAGTAGTCCAAGTGGGAGATAACCAGAGCATGTACCACTCTGGCCAGGCAGTCTGCGAGCAGGGAGGGTCTTAGACTGCGTACCAGATGGAGCTGGTAAACAGCTGCCCTGGATACAGAATTGACCTGTGCCTCCATGGACAGCTGTGGGTCCAAAATGACTCCCAGGCTACGCACCTGGTCCTTCAGGGGCACAGTTACCCCAGTGTGGTGTAGTGGTTAAGAGCGGTAGTCTCGTAATCTGGGGAACCGGGTTCGCGTCTCCGCTCCTCCACATGCAGCTGCTGGGTGACCTTGGGCCAGTCACACTTCTCTGAAGTCTCTCAGCCCCACTCACCTCACAGAGTGTTTGTTGTGGGGCAGGAAGGGAAAGGAGAATGTTAGCCGCTTTGAGACTCCTGAAGGGGAGTGAAAGGCGGGATATCAAATCCAAACTCTTCTTCTTCTTCTTCATTCAGGATCAGGGAGTCCTCCACACCCACCCGCCCCCTGTCCCCCAAAAAGAGTACTTCTGTTTTGTCAGGATTCAACCTCAATCCATTATCCGCCATCCATCCAAATGATGAGAACCAAACAATCGCTTGGTGCACCAGGCCTGCGTCCCACCTAGTCCAGCATCATGTCCTCACAGGGACCAACCAGATGTCTGTGGGAAACTTGCAAACAGGACCCGAGTTCAAGAGCTAATCTGCTCTCCTGGGGTTTCCAGCAACTAACTGGGATTCATTGCTGCCTCTGAGCATGGAGGCAGAGCTTAGGCATCCTGGCTAGTAACCACTGCTAGCTTTATCTTCCACGAACTTGTCCAACCCTCTCTCAGAGCCCTATCCAAGTGGGTGGTCATTGCTGCCTCCAGTGGCAGTGAGTTCCATAGTTTAACAGTGTGAAGTAGCAGAGGAGGTGTCTTGTGTATGCCGTTTCCACACACCCCCGTGCATTTTTCATCCACATTATCACAAGGAGGCAGCAACACAAGAGGGTCTATAAACGGCGGCAGCGGGATTCCCTCTGCCAGATTCACACAATCATAGTCAGAAGGGACCCTGAGGGTCATCTAGCCCAACCCCCTGCCATGCAGGAATAGGCAGCTGGCCCATACAGGGATTGAACCTGCAACCTTGGCGTTACCAGCACCACTCTCTCACCAATTGAGCTATCCACTTGGAAACAAGCAATCTCTTTATCAGTGGTTTCAAAAGTGGGGAGGACCACTCAAGTGAGCATACTATATCTATATCTATATCTATATATATGGTTTTCCACAATTATAACAAATATCACATAACAGAATAACAAACGAAAAAAAGAAACATCAAAGAAGAAAACAATAAACAAATAAACAGTAAAACAAACTTAATTCTTTAAATATCCAAACTTATGTACATATTAGTTGACCTTCATCTAGTCCCTCCCTTCTGAGTTTCCTTGTATCTGGATGTAACAGCTTTCCTATATCATTATTAGACAAAAATATTTCCAATTATAATCTAACTTATTCACTTTTCTTACAGTTCTAAATCCCATTTATTTTATTAAATCTTAATTTAATCCTAGGCCTATTTGGTCCTTTCAAGTAGTTTCTAATTTTTTATATTGCAATATTTATTCAAATAGTCCTTGAATTTCTTCCAGCCTTTTTGATATTCCTCTTCTTTCTGGTCGCGGATTCTTCCAGTCAGGTCAGCTAGTCCAAAAAGTCCATCATCTTCATCTGCCAATCTTCCACTGTTGGTATTTCTTGTGTTTTCCAATTCTTAGCTAGTAAGTTTCGAGCCGCCATAGTGGCATACAAAAATAATTTAACATATTTCTTGGGCAATTCCAAACCTCAGGTGAGCATGCTTGGGGGCATCAGGGGACTGCTGAAAATGGAAATGACTTTCAGACTTTGAAAAGCTGGTATCTTCTTGGTTGTTGGCCTCCACCAAAGTGACATCCCCAGGACTCTAGTCTGGGCAGTGTGTATGGAGGTCCCGGGCAGCCCAAGCTCAAGTTCATTAGTTTTGTTGAATTAAACCAGGTGTCAGCAAACTTTTTCATCAGGGGGCCGGTCCACTGTCCCTCAGACCTTGTGGGGGGCCGGAGTATATTTTGAAAAATATATAAATACAGCGGTACCTCGGGTTAAGAACATAATCGTTCTGGAGGTCCGTTCTTAACCTGAAACTGTTCTTAACCTGAGGTACCACTTTAGCTCATGGGGCCTCACGGTGCCGCTGCACCGCCGCCGCGCGATTTCTGTTCCCATCCTGAAGCAAAGTTCTTAACCCGAGGTACTATTTCTGGGTTAGCGGAGTCTGTAACCTGAAGCGTCTGTAACCCGAGGTACCACTGTACCCTGCAAGCCAGTCCTGCAGCTGCCTCCGGACCTGGAGCAGGAATGCACTCTGCACGCGCTCAGGAGTTGTTGACGAGCAGCAGCCGCTCCATCAGCCCATCCCCGCAGAGCTCCCAGGCAACGTGACCATGCACTGTGGCCCGTCATCAGGTGCCAAGGTCAGCGGGTAGGCAGCGCAGCCACGCATAGCTGTCAACTTTTCCCTTTTCTTGCGAGGAATCCTATTCGGAATAAGGGAATTTCCCTTTTAAAAAGGGAAATATTGACAGCCATGCCACCGAGCGCGCCACCAGCAGCAGCACTGAGTCGGGCGCCAGACACGGGGCCAGCAGGCCTGCCAAGCTCTGGCTGAAGCCCCGCGATGCACCGTCACGATGCCCGTGGCATGGCCCGGACCCACCACCCACCCTCTCCATCCATGGCCACGCCAGGTTTACCTCAGTGCGTGGGCAGTGAGGCTTCGGATTGGCTGCAGGAAATTCCTGCAGCCAATATGAAGCCACGCCAGCTTCGCCACCCACCCAGAAGCCATGCCAGCATCGTGGAAGTCAGTTCCCACGCAGCGAGGTGTCCACAGATTGCGGGGACTGACCGAGCAGGCGGCAGGGTCTGCGGGCCGGATCTACGAGCCTGGGGGGCCGCATCTGGCCCCCGGACCATGGTTTACCAACCCCTGAATTAAACTGAGTAGTTTTACATGGATTTTGAATGAATGTGCAACTAATCGCTACAGTTTGGAATTTTATTGTTGCAACTGTCCCCGATGCTTTACAGTGGTACCTCTGGTTACATACGCTTCAGGTTACAGACTCCGCTAACCCAGAAATATTACCTCGGGTTAAGAACTTTGCTTCAGGATGAGAACAGAAATTGTGCTCCAGTGGCGAGGCAGCAGCGGGAGGCCCCATCAGCTAAAGTGGTGCTTCGGGTTAAGAACAGTTTCAGATTAAGAACAAACCTCTGGAACGAATTAAGTTCTTAACCCGAGGTACCACTGTATAGTTGAAATTCCTGCATTGCATGGGCTTAGACTAGATGACCGTTAGGCTCCCTCCCAACTGCACAATTCTATTAATATCTTCCTTAGCGAGCCGCGTTAACCCCTGTAATGCTTTCTGCAGAGTAAGCATAGGGGACACTGGGGGATGTGCTTGTGGAACCAAGGGGGCAGCGGGCCAAAAAGAGTTCGGGATCTACTGCTATGAACAGAAATGAGTGCCGGTGGGTTCTCCTTCCTTTTTCAAAGTTTTGTTTCTGCGGGGACGGCAGCCCGGATTTCCAAAAAGCGGCGCATTTTGCGTCTGAGCGAGGAAGAGAGAGAGAGGGGGAAAGAGAGAGAGATTGATTTGTGGCTGCGCAGAGGGAGGAGGAGCCCAGGAGTAAAAGTAGGAAGGACGAAGGGAGGGGAAAGGAAAGTTAATAGAAGGAAAGGCGGGTGGGAGAGAAAGAGAAAGAAAGAGGGAAGGAAGGGGGGAAGAGAAGTGGAAAGGAGGGAGACCGAGGCGGGGGAGAAGCGCCTGGAGAGTTGCTCCGAAGTTTGGGGGGCCGCGGGGGGGTGGGCGCGCGTCCCAGGAGGCGGAGGCCAGCCCGGGCTGGGAGCCGCGCCGCGGCCCGGGGGCGGGAGGCGGACCGCGGCTCCTAGGATGTGGAAAGGGGACGGCGGCGCAGGGGGAGGAGACCCGCACGGCTAGGGCAGCGCGCAGGGGGAGGGGAGCGGGCCGGAGGCGGGCGAGGGGGGCCGCGATCCCGCGCGCCGCGAACATGGCCTCCTTCCCCGCGGGCCCCGCCGAGCCCCCCGGCCGACGCGCCCCCGCCGCCGGAGGAGAGCAGAGGCAGGAGGAGGAGGACGAGGGCGCCGCCGAGGAGGCGCGCCAACTTCTGCCAACTTCGGCGCCCGCCCCGCCGCCGCAGGCTCCTCCCGGCCGAGAGCCAGAGGACGGCGGCAGCGGAGGAACAGGAGGAGGAGGATCGGGTTTGGCGACGGCTGCTGCGTCCTCTCCAAGCGCGGGGCTGGCTTCCGCCGCGCCCGATCCTCCGCGCTCGCCGCGCTTCTCGGCGGAGCAGGTCTCGTGCGTGTGCGAGGCGCTGCTGCAGGCGGGCGACCCCGGCCGGCTGGGCCGCTTCCTGGGCTCGCTGCCGCCCGACGCCGAGGCGCCGTGCCTGGAGGCGCAGGCGGGCGAGAGCCTGGCCAAGGCGCGCGCGCTGCTGGCCTTCCAGCGCGGCGACTTCGCCGAGCTGTACCGCCTGGTGCAGAGCCGGCCCTTCGGCGCGCCGCACCACCCGTTCCTGCAGGACCTGTACCTGCGCGCTCGCTACCGGGAGGCCGAAGCTGCCCGGGGCCGGGCTCTGGGCGCCGTCGACAAGTACCGGCTGCGCAAGAAGTTCCCGCTGCCCAGCACCATCTGGGACGGCGAGGAGACGGTGTACTGCTTCAAGCGGCGCTCCCGGGCAGCCCTGCGCGACTCGTACGGGCGCAGCCGCTACCCGAGCCCCGAGCAGAAGCGGCGCCTGGCCCAGGACACCGGCCTGTCGCTCACCCAGGTCAGCAACTGGTTCAAGAACCGACGGCAGCGCGACCGCAGCGGAGGAGGAGGCGGAGCCGGGGGAGGAGGCGCCGGCACGCCCAGCAAAAGGTGAGCGGCCCCGGGGCATGGGCAGAGCGCAGCGCCACACTCTCTCGGGGCGCAATCGCGCGCGCACTACTGCGCAGGAAAGAGAGCGGGGTGGAACCTGCATGGGCAAGAGCAGCCTACCGGTTGCGGGGAGGGATCGGGGTGACTGCTGTCTCCCTGGCCTGCTTATTAGCCTTGCCTGATACCATACGATACGATAATCTTTATTGTCATTGCCCCATACAGAACAACGTAATTGAAAAAATCTACATCAGAAATTCAAAAACCAACAAGCCTGCTATCCCAGCCTGGTTGGCCCCCTAAAAACTCTGATACCCCATAATATACTCCCACAGAGACTACTAAAGGTAAAGGGACCCCTGACCATTAGGTCCAGTCATGACCGACTCTGGGGTTGCGGCGCTCATCTTGCTTTATTGGCCGAGGGAGCCGGCGTACAGCTTCCGGGTCATGTGGCCAGCAGGACTAAGCCGCTTCTGGCAAACCAGAGCAGCGCATGGAAATGCCGTTTACCTTCCTGCTGGAGCGGTACCTATTTATCCACTTGCACTTTGACGTGCTTTCGAACTGCTAGGTGGGCAGGAGCAGGGACCCGGAAGCAACGGGAGCTCACCCCGTCGCGGGGATTCAAACCGCCGACCTTCTGATCGGCAAGCTCTAGGCTCAGTGGTTTAGACCACAGCACCACCCATTCAGAGACTACCTTACGCTGCGTTTAAAACCAACATCGCATTTGGATAGAAACTGTTTCTCAGGCGGCTAGTCCTAGTCTTTATAACCCTGGACCTTCTTCCAGAAGGCAGAAGCTGAAAGAGATCATTTCTGGGGTGTGTGCTATCCTGCACTAACTGCAGTTTTCTTATGGCACCTGGAAGCATAGATTTGATCCAAGGTGGGAAGAGTGCACTCAGTTATTCTCTCCGCAGTCTGTTGGGAAGCAGGATGCAGCCCAACTAGGACTGCAGCAGACCCCAAGTAAGTCCCATTAAAGTTGGTGGAGTTTACTCTTGATGAAATGGGTTTAGGATTGGACCCGGATGTGGGTCACAACCAGCTGGGCTTTTCTAATATTCTTAAAGACCCCATACTGATAATTAGGGGGCAGACCCCCAACTCTCCTTAAAGAGATCTTGAAGTTCTGAAGGGGACTTTGGGGTCTTTGTGGAAAACCCAGCATCCTACAGACACTTGACTCCAACCCCCCATAGAATACCTATTTCCTCTGGATGGGTTTTGGGGGACATTGATGCCACCTATTCGTAGTTCAAGGTCCTCTCAAGTTTCAGAAAAAGTCTAGGGTGATGGAGAAGGAGAGAAATTCCCGAATTACATGTGCTTCTCAGTTTATAGTAAGCACTCCTAGGAAGAGAGAATGAGCCTGCAGGGAAACCCCTCTCTAAGTTTTATAGGTCTCTAATGGACCCTTTACAAAGTTCCTGTCCTTCTAGGGCAGGGGTAGCCAGGCTGGTGCCTTCCATATGTTTTGGGATTCTGGCTTCAATCCGTCTCAGCCAGCATGATGGGTATTGTCATAGGGCTTTCCAGATACTGGACTACAATACCCATCATGCCTGACCATTGGCAGATTGGGAGACACCCAATTTCTGTCACACACATTACAAACTCCTTTCCCACTGCCTGGAAAAAAAGTTTTCAAAAGGAACTTCCAGCAAAAGGAACAACCATTTTTACAGATACAGATAGGTAGCCGTGTTGGTCTGCCATAGTCAAAACAAAAAAAAATTCCTTCCAGTAGCACCTTAAAGACCAACTAAGTTAGTTCTTGGTATGAGCTTTCGTGTGCATTCTGAAGAAGTGTGCATGCACACGAAAGCTCATACCAAGAACTAACTTAGTTGGTCTTTAAGGTGCTACTGGAAGGAATTTTTTCATTTTTACAGAGGCTGGGATATAAATGTACTGGGGCATATTGTAAGGAATTCCTAAACTCTGGGTACTAAGAAAGAGGGGTAACATCAGTTACATCCTCTCCAGTTCTAGCCAAACCAAAAAGAGCGAGGTATGGCCAAGGCTTTGCAAAACCCACAAGCTACCCTAAATTTCAACTCTTGTCTTTTGTGTGAGAGTGCTGATACAGGCTGCCTCAGACACACAGGCACAGCCTTGTATTTGTACAGTCCACAAAGTGGGCTACGGAGGGCTTAATCCTGCCCGCTACCCCTGCTTAAAAGGTAAAGGGACCCCTGACCGTTCTTTGTGGTCCAGCTCTCACTTCCATAAAGGTAAAGGGACCCCTGACCGTTAGGTCCAGTTGCGGACGACTCTGGGGTTGCGGTGCTCATCTCGCTTTATCGGCCGAGGGAGCCGGCGTACAGCTTCCGGGTCATGTGGCCAGCAGGAAACGCCGTTTACCTTCCCACCGGAGCGGTACCTATTTATCTACTTGCACTTTGACGTGCTTTCGAACTGCTGGATTGGCAGGAGCAGGGACCCAGCAATGGGAGCTCACCCCGTCGCGGGGATTCGAACCGCCGACCTTCTGATGGGCAAGCCCTAGCGAAGTTTTTTATGACTGATGTTTTAATGTATATTTAGGAGAAACCCAGCTAGATGGACGGGAAATAAATAAATAAATAGTGATGGTGGTGGTGGTGGTGATGATAATCATTCCCTGTAAAAAGCATTATTCAGAATAGCGATTCGCATGACCCAGAAAAGGGAAGATAATAATGCAATAAAATTCCAAACAGTCATTAAGAGTCTGATAGCCATTTACACCTCCAGTGCCCCCCTGCCACCCCCTGGCCTCTTACTGCCCCCTAGGTAATCCCCCTCTCCGTTTTGGGATCCCCTGGGTAACACCACTGCCTTACTTTCGAATAAATTTGCATTGGATGGGGCTGTAAGGAAGGAATGAGGAGGTGGGAGACCTGAACCCTGCAGACAGAGCTTTTCCCCTCCCTGGTTTCTCTCTCCTTCCTCCCCCCCCCCCCCCCCGCAACCACATTTTGGGTGCACCCAGTAGAATGAAGAGGGCTTTTCTCTTCTAGCTGTTCGTGGGCACGGAGGATTTTTGTGTGTGTCTCCCTTTGCCTTCCCCTCTGCAAACAAAAGGGAGAAACCACTTGAGTTTGAGAAAGTTCTAGTTCATTCTTCTACTGCAGACTGTTCAGGGGGTGGGGAACAGCCAAGCTGGCTACTCCAGATGTTCCTGCAGCTGGCGCTCGCTCTCCTCTCCCCCCCCCTTCTCTCCTGGGAGAAAAACTTTGCCTCCAGTTAGCTGCAAAGTGCAGCAATGTGGAAGGCGCCAAGCTCATCCCCTTTGTTGTGAAATGTGAATCCTTTGGCTTTGAATTTCCTGGGGCTGAGGGTGGAAATTACCTTGCCCAAGGAGCCCAGACTCCTGCCTTCACACTCAAACTAAAGGTCTATTTCTCAGTCCTTTCTACCACAGAAACATATACTGTACACTGAATACCACCGGCTCTCCAGGGACTTTCCTGGTCTTTTTAACTGGATTTGAACCTGCGACCTTCTGCTTGCAAGACGAGTGCTCTAGCATTGAGCTACAACCCTTCCCCACAGTAAATCGGGGGTTGGGGCTTGTTACGCTGCAGTTGGGAGCTCCCACAATCCGTTCAAAGAAAATAATTCAAAGAGGCTTCCCCCCTGGCCACGGTTAGAAACTCAGATATATAAGCTAGGCGCCAAATTGCTTTTTAAACCAGTTTTCAAAACGGAACGCCTAGCTGCCATTTGGGGGCAAGGAGTCTCCAAAGTTTTCTTTTTCAAATGATGGACTGTGATTGATTCTCAGTTAAACATTTTGCTAGAGAAGAATGGCAGGGTCAAGTTGATGGATGATGCCGAAATGGCTAAAATGACCGGAAGAATCAGAAATCAGGAAGACCAAAATTTTAATAAGGAATGGGGAAAATTTGTAACTGATCTTAAAGACTACTGTAAACAGTTAAAATCATTAGTAGGATTGGAATAGCACTTGTAGTTTAATGGGGAATTTTGGATACAATGGAGAGAGAAAAGATTTGGATTATTCTAAAAAGATGGAGGAGGAAATGATTAACAATAGGACCCACAAAGGAGAGGAGGGAAGTCCAAGAGATTCCTCATAATCTTGTTTTTATGTTGTATGTTCAACATGTGACTGCATTTTACTAGTTCAGATGACCGCCTTGAGCTAGATTAAGAACTTGGGAGAACTTAAATAAGAAAAGTCACTTGATCCAGAGATAGTCCACATATATATTGGCCTATTCCAACCTCTTTTTCTTAATGACGACACGGACCATTCATAACGCAGAAATATTCTGCGCAACCACGAGCAGGGCCATGGAGTGGGGTAAGTTAAGACAGGTGACGACAATTACCGTATTTTTTACTCTATAAGACTCACTCTCCCCCCCCCCCCCAAAAAAAAAGAAAGGGGAAATGTGTGCGCGTCTTATGGAGCGAATGCAGGCTGCGCAGCTATCCCAGAAGCCAGAACAGCAAGAGGGATTGCTGCTTTCGCTGCGCAGCGATCCCTCTTGCTGTTCTGGCTTCTGAGATTCAGAATATATTTTTTTCTTGTTTTCCTCCTCCAAAAACTAGGTGCGTCTTCTGGTCTGGTGCACCTTATAGAGCGAAAAATACGGTAACTATAAGGTTGTTCCCTGCTCCTGGTCAAGCTGCATGGAGAACGCATTTTGGTTCCTGAAGTTCATTCCGATTGTGCAGATAAAAATATAACTGATAGAATTCTACAGGATGTGTTGCTAGTGTGCGAAAACAGTCCAGATCCAATGATCCTTCGGCATGTACCTCCAGATGGCGGAGACGCCAGATGCCATCCTGGTACCCAGGTATCTTCACTTGATCACTAGCGACCAATAGCCGGGTGCAAAATGCACCCGGCACCCGGCTAATTTCTAACACTGCCCCCAGACAATACCAGCATTTTTGTGCAGGGAATCTGCACCACTGGAGGTTTTCAGAGATTCAGGGCAGATACAAGGAAGTATTTCATGCAATGCTTAAATAACTTGCGGGATTCCCTGCCACAGGCTATAACGATGGCTGCTCCCGGTAGGTTTCCGAGTACAATTGAAAGTGTTGGTGCTGGTCTTTAAAGCCCTAAATGGCTTTGACCGTGTATACCTGAAGGAGCATCTCCACCCTGAGGTCCAGATCCGAGGGCCTTCTGGTGGTTCCCTCACTGCGAGAAGTGAAATTACAGGGAATCAGGCAGAGGGCCTTCTCGGTGGTGGCGCCCGCCCTGTGGAACGCCCTCCAATCAGATGTCAAAGAGATAAAGAACCATACAACTTTTAGAAGACATCTGAAGGCAGCCCTGTAAAAGAGAAAGTTTTTATTGTCCGGTGTTTTGTTGTGAGTTTTTTTTATATTCTGTTTGAACAGAGTGGCTGGGGCAACCTGGTCAGATGGGCAGGGCATAAAGTAATAAACAGTTGTTGTTGTGGATTAGACCAGTTCATAGAGGAGAAACTCAGTGGCCCATCTAGTCCAACATCCTGTTCTAACAGTGGCTGATCAGGTGACCATGCGCAGAATTTGAGCGCAAGAGCACTTCTCCCCACATCCCTGAGATTCCCAACAACTGTTATTCAGAGACAGTTCACTGTGGCAACCACGGTCAAGGACCCACGTACCTACGGGACCGCCTCCCCTGGTATGCCCCACGGAGGATCTTAAGGTCCACAAATGACAACATTTTGGAGGTTGCAAGGTGGTTAGATTGTTCTCAACTAGGGCCAGGGCCTTTTCAGTTCTGGCCCCGACTTGGTGGAACGCTCTGTCACAAGAGATTAGGGCCCTGCGGGACTTGACATCTTTCCGCAGGGCCGGAAGATAAAGCTGTTCTGCCTGGCCTTTGGTTTGGACTCAGTCTGACCCTTACGTTTCCCTCCCCTTATGGTTTTGACTTTTAAAATGAGGCTGCATTTTAAATTGCATTTTAACCTGTATTTTAAATTGCCCCCCCCATTATGTTTTTACTGTCATTTTACTGGTGTTAGCCGCCCTGATCCCGACTCTGGCCGGGCAGGGCGGGGTATAAATAAAATTTATTATTAATTATTACTACTACTACTACTACTACTACTCTCTACTGAGAGCCAGTGTGGTGTAGTGGTTAAGAGGAGTAGTCTCGTAACCTGGTGAACCGGGTTCGCGTCTCCGCTCCTCCACATGCAGCTGCTGGGTGACCTTGGGCCAGTCACACTTCTCTGAAGTCTCTCAGCCCCACTCACCTCACAGAGTGTTTGTTGTGGGGGAGGAAGGGAAAGGAGAATGTTAGCCGCTTTGAGACTCCTTAAAGGGAGTGAAAGGTGGGATATCAAATCCAAACTCTTCTTCTACATCCTCAACCTCTTCTCCTTTACAGCGAGTCAGACGGGAACCCCAGCACGGAGGACGAGTCCAGCCACGGCACCGAAGAAACCGAAACGTCCATGGGGATTTCCGCGACCCCCGAAGGGATGCCCACCCCCAACAGCCTGTTCCTGCCAGCCGCTTGCACCAGCGCCTCTTCCATCCTCCTCAACGGCAACTTTATCACCGCTAGCTCCCCGACCATGCTGCTGAACGGCGGCTCCGTCATCCAGACCCCCGGCGGAGGCGTCATCCTGAACGGCTTGGCTCTGGGCGACAACCAGACCATCACCCTCAGCCCCGTGGCAGCGCCCAGCCCGCCCATCCTCCTCAACGGATCCAGCCCCCTGCTGGGCGGCAAGCCCCCATGCCCACCAGGCGGCCAGGAGGCCTCCAAGGCTCTCCAGGAGCCCCTTGCCCCAGCCACCGTCATTCTCAGCCCGGCTGCCGCGCTTCAGGGGGAAGTGAAGTCGGAAGCGGCAGAGGCCCTGGCGTTTGGTGTCGAGGTCAAGCTGGAAGAGGGGCAGGTGTCCGTCCCACCCCTGTTGCCCGTCCCCGACGCCACCACGCTCCTCTCCAACCACAAGGGGCCCCTGCTGGCGGCTGTTGCCATGCCGCAAGTGGTCCCATCAAACGACGAGACCCCCACGGCTGCGCAGCAGCTGCCCCCAGCGCCTCAGCCATCAGCCACATCTAGTCCTCAGATGGTTCCTCTAGCCAAGTTGGCCCCCGGTGCCCAAGCCCTGCCAGCTCCCCAGGTGACCGCAGCCACGGTCGGTGGGCAGGTGGCCCAGTCTTCCCAGACTACCACAGCCACGCCGCTGCTTTCCATGCCAGGCCCCTCGCCGCCCCAGGCCGCTGTTCTCCACGTCCCTGCCCCATCCCTGGTCCCCATCACTCAAGTCTCACCCCCTTCCCAGGTGGTGCCGCTCTCCCAGCCCGTCTCTGGGACCCAGGTGCTCTCCCCGTCCCAAATGGTGCCTGTGTCCCCGACGCAGATCTACGCCGTCCCGCAGGGGGCATCTGCCCCCCAGCTCGTCTCGCTCCCCCAAGTGGCCCAGGGCTCCCAGATTATCTCTCTGCCCCAAGTTGTGCCCACCTCGCAGGTGGTCACCCTGCAGCAGGGCATGGGCAGCCCCATCCAAATCCTGACCACCGGCGGCACCCCCATCAAAGTGGGGGCCATGGCAGGGGCGCCGCAGGTGGCCGTGTCGGCGGGAGGAAGCCTTGGCCAGAGCAATGTGCACCTCATCAACGCCAACGTGGGCATGACCACGCTGCAGATCCCGGGCACCGCGCCAGGTATGTGCTTTGGGCAGAGGGTGGCCAGGGAGGTTTCAAAAACAATTCAAGGGATTCAGGAAACTGGCAGGGCTGAATCAAGGACTCTGGGGCCTCGTTTGTGCCATACATTTAGAGTGGTGCTGGACTAGGACCTGGGAGGCTAGGGTTCGAATCCCCTCCCAGCCAAGAAACTTGGTGATCTTGGGCCAATAATTCACTCGCAGAATTGTTGTGGGCGATAAAATGGGGGAGGAAGAGAAGTACGTAGGCTTAAATGTGGTTTAAATGCATGTGGTTTAAATGCATGTACGTGGTTTAAATGCATGTTTTTTCTTTGATGCATAGGTAATAAAGGAGGACTATGTTATGTAAAAGTTATGTAGTTTCTCACGTTGTTTTCTTTCATGTACCCTTTCTGTTAACTTTTCCATCAAAATTAATTCCCAGACCTAAACATACCAAACTTCATATAGGTTCATGTTTAATGTCCTCCAGTGTCTAGCAACAGCAAGATGTGCTGCAGTTGTAAGATGCACAATTAAGTCTTTGTCTCTAAGATTTTGCGCTTCATCTGCAAATATAGAAAGCAATGCTATTTGGGGATCTAAATTGATCGATTGAGATATAATTTGTTCCATTTCCTGAAATATTTTTAGCCAGAAGTTTTTAATCAATGGGCATTTCCAGCACATGTGTATAAATGTTCCTTCATTCCCACAATTTCTCCAACGTTGCAGAGAAATATTTTTGTCTAGTTTGTTTATGTATTTGTTTATATCCCACTTTTCCTCCCAGGAGATCAAGGTGGTGCACATGGTTTTCCCTCTCCTTTTTTTATCCTCACAACAACCCTCTGGTGTAGGCTAGGCGAAGAGACAGAGACAGGGTCACCCAATGAGCTTCCTATCAGCATTGGGATTTGAACCCTGGTCTCTGTCAGGCTCTAGTCCTACCACTCTACCTCATTGGCTCTCTTGGAGAGTAGGGACCGCCTTGGAGATGTTTGCTGATTTGGGTGGGCGGGGTGGGGAGAGGAAATGGGGGCTCTGTGTCCCTTCCTTTGCTTAAGGAGCGTCTCCACCCCCATCGTTCAGCCCGTACACTGAGATCCAGCACCGAGGGCCTTCTGGCGGTTCCCTCATTGCGAGAAGTGAGGTGACAGGGAACCAGAGGGCCTTCTCGGTGGTGGCGCCCGCCCTGTGGAACGCCCTCCCTTCAGATGTGAAGGAAATAAGCAGCTATCTTCTTTTTAAAAGACATCTGAAGGCAGCCCGGTTTAGGGAAGTTTTTAATATTTAGTGCTGTATTGTTTTTAACACTTGATTGGAAGCCGCCCAGAGTGGCTGGGGAAACTCAGCCAGATGGGCGGGGTATAAATAATAAATTATTATTATTATTAAGATTTCCCCGTTTCCTCTCCAACTTAGGCAACATCCTCCTGACCAACCCGGCAACAGGGAGCAGCACCATCGTCACCGGAATGGCTCTGCAACAGGGGAAACTGATCCTGACGGCCACCTTCCCGGCTGGCATGCTGATGACGCCCATCCTCTCAGCCCAGGCCGCCCCGACTCTGGCCCTGCCCATCAAGCAGGAAGTGGCGGCCGTGATGGCGCCGGCAACTCTGGGGAGCGGCGAAGGCGGCAGCGTGTTGCTCTCGGGGGGTGCTTCCGTGCTCCCTCCTGGAGTCTCCCCGCTCTCGGCGGCCGACAGCACCGGGCCAGCTGACTTGGCTTTCGGCACGGACTCCGGCCAAGCCGGCCTCCTTTCAAACTTCTCCCAGCCAGACGGCCTGGCCATGTCTCAGCAGCAGGTGGTTTGGCCCAGCTCGGTGGGCATGGACCTCCAAGGGACCGGCGCCGAGGGGCTGTTTGAGATGGACAAGAACTCTATGGAGGTGCAGGGCGGACTTCTACGTCTCCCGGAGGGAGAGGGCCTCTTGCTGGACGCCTCTGGGGGAGACCCGATGGGCCCCGAGGCTCTGGACTCGGAAGAGAAGGTGCTAACCCAGCTGCAGTCTGTGCCGGTGGAGGAGCCTCTGGATTTGTAAGCACCCGCGAGCTGTTTCGCAGAGTCCTCGCCTGCCCACGGAACGATATTTTAAACCTGCTATCCTTGGTCCCCACCTGGTCCAGACAGGATGCTACAAGTGCCTTGAAAAGGGAAACCTGGGTGAGCCCCTGCAGTCTGTGCTGCTGCTGCAGCACTTTTTTTTTTGCAAACACTACAGAAGGAAAAAACACAGCACTGGGACACCGCTGACCCCGTTATCCGGTGTGTACAACTGCCTGTTCAGCAACCCCAGTGCCACCTTGTGGCCGCCAGTCGAACAGCAAGCACTAACTTCCCCTTGGAGGTGTTGCCCATTCACTTTGTTTCTTTCCTCCTTCCCCAGCCCTCCTAAAACTCAGGCACAGAGTTGAGGGCGTTTTCTACCTTCATGGCCTTCCTGCCTTTTTTTAAGAAACCTACCTTACATCTAGCAAGTTGCTTGGAAAGCTAGAGATTTTTGTTGATACTGGGGCAGGGAGCACATCATATAGACCAGGCACCCCCAAACTTGGCCCTCCGGCTGTTTTGGGACTACAATCCCCATCATCGCTGACCACTGGTCCTGTTAGCTAGGGATGATGGGAGTTGTAGTCCCAAAACAGCTGGAGGGCCGAGTTTGGGGATGCCTGATACAGACTGCCCTTTGTCCACCTGGCATCCCTGAGAGGGGGCTGATGGGAGTTGTAGTCCAAAACAGGTCAACTGACTTACACCACAAGGAGAGCCTTCCTCTCCCCTCATCTATGGTGCTAGGGAACGGGTCCAGCTGCTAGTCTGAGCCCAAGTCCCATTTCGGAGGGGCAGGAAGGACATCCAAGGTCCCAGTGCTGGTCTCCTGTTCCAGTTAGGCTTGTACTCTTTCCCAGGGTGGGGAGGCTATTGTCATTTGAATCATAGAGTTGGACTAGACCACAAGGGCCATCGAGTCCAACCCCCTGCCAAGCAGGAAACACCATTTGAGCTTGGCTTCTCGCTGGCTTTTAGTCTTGCAGCGCTGTCCTAGAGAGGTGAACTGTCCTATTCCAAAGTCAAACGCTTTGGCGCTAGAAAACAATGCAGACATTGTTCCAGTCCTCCAGGGCAGAGAGAAGCCTGGCTAGAATGTCTCCCCTGGACCCATCTTTTGTCTATGGAATAGCTTTCCGGCGTTTTAACTCTGGGCTGATCTCCGCTGCTCTGGGCGGGAACAGCGTAAGAAGCACATTTGTTAATTGTGGGATTGGATCCTGCAGCAGTTAGTCCTGCCATTAAAGGCACATGGGAGCAGGTGTCAGGTGTGGATATACAGTCTCTTAAGCCACTGTAAAAATTAGCTTTAGCTGCACCTTGAGATCCCCTGTGTTGGGGGGTTGGGAGCAGAAGCCACACATTAATCTGGGATGCTCAAGGTTGGGGGTCAATCCATTTTGAAAGATAGAAATGTCATGCAATGGGGCCAGACTGAGCATTACCCCCTTAAAATACCATTTGCTTTGAAAACTCGAGTTTCCTCCCAAACTTTCCCTGGGGCTGTTTCCTCCGAATGCTAAAATCAGCAAGTGGTCTCCCTTTTTTATTTTTAGACAGAAGAAATTATATATAAATATATTTAATAATGTATTTTTTAGAAGAAAGGTCATTTAAAAATCAATTCTTTCCCCTTATTTTTCTATAAGCCGGTGGGATCTCTCCTTCCCATATATTTAACAGTTTCCTTGTGATCTTGAGGGGAGAATTTTTCTTTTCTTTTTGCCGTTTTCCAAAACCTTTTCTCACACTGCACCCAGGTTGCTGGTGGCAAACTTTAAGACCGTGAGCAAAGTACGAGATCCAAGACCCTTGTGCGGGGATTGAGGAATCTTCCATAAGTGAAAAGGCCTCCATCCATAGAGCTGCTTTGGAGTGAGGTGGGGGGGACAGGACACAACTGTGTTCCTTCCAGATACCCATACTATGTCAGGGTGGGGTCTGTAGCAGAATGCATTGCAAATAGCCCCACATCCAGTTCCCAGGCAAGGCTAGGGGAAACCTCTGTCTGTAGCCCTGGAGAGCCAGTCAGTGGAGACCAGCCTTTGCAAACAAATGCTTTTGGACTACAACTCCCATCAGCCCTTGCCAGTACAGCCAGTGGTCAGGGATGATGGGCAGTTGTAGTCCAGTAAGACCTGGAAGGCTGTTCTTGGTCAGAATTAGCCTAAGGCAGCTCCCTGGCTTTTTAGCATTAGATAACAGTGCAGGGAGTTAAATGTAAAGGTAAAGGTACCCCTGCCTGTACGGGCCAGTCGTGACTGACTCTGGGGTTGCGTGCTCATCTCGCTTAAGAGGCCGGGAGCCCGCGCTGTCCGAAGACACTTCCAGGTCACGTGGCCAGCGTGACGAAGCTGCTCTGGCGAGCCAGCACCAGCGCAGCGCACGGAACGCTGTTTACCTTCCCGCTATAAAGCGGTACCTATTTATCTACTTGCACTTAGGGGTGCTTTCGAACTGCTAGGTTGGCAGGCGCTGGGACCAAACGACGGGAACTCACCCCGCCACAGGGATTCGAACCGCCGACCATACGATCGGCAAGTCCTAGGCGCTGAGGTTTTACCCACAGCGCCACCCGCGTCCCTGCAGGGAGTTATACAGGACAGAAATTCTGGGGCAGAAATTTCTGGCTTTTGTTTTCTTTCTCTCTCTTTTTTTAATGGGGCCATGCTAACTGGATCCTGCTTCAGGAGCACTCAGTACCCACAAAGCTTTTTGCTGAGTGTGGATGGTACACTCTTTGAAAACAGCTGTCTGCTGGGGCTGCCCGGCCTGTGTCAATCAACGTGTTTTGCTGCGAAGAAATGGGAGGGGGGTGCACCTCATGGATCATACCCCTCCCTACTGCAAAAGGATGGGCTCACTCTTCCCCCCCCCCACTGCTGCGATGGGATCTGAGCAGAGGGTTTCGATTGTCCATCTGAATGTCTCCTAACCCAACACTTCCCAAACAGGTACTACAGCTACACACCTATTTTCCACAGTTTGTGAGAAACAATCATTTCTGCAAGATATTTTTATATCCTTTTTTACGTGTACGTGTGTCTTTTATATATATTTTATATATATATAAATATATTTTATCCTAAAGCTCTCTCTGTGCGTGTACTCATCCTTCATTGAGCTCTGTTGGGAATTCCCATCATAAGCCACTTGCAAGAGGTGGCGGGGTTTTCCCCCACAGGGGTCTCAAAACATTTCCATTTCAAGGACTGTTCCAGTATTTAAGGAGCATTTTCAGGATTGTGCCTTGTTTTCTACAATAAAGGTAAAGGGACCCCTGACCATTAGATCTAGTCGTGGCCGACTCTGGGGTTGCGGCGCTCATCTCGCTTTACTGGCCAAGGGAGCCGGCGTACAGCTTCCGGGTCATGTGGCCAGCATGACTAAACCGGAACAGCGCACAGAAACGCTGTTCACCTTCCCGCCGGAGCGGTACCTATTTATCTACTTGCACTTTGACGTGCTTTCGAACTGCTAGGTTGGCAGGAGCAGGGACCGAGCAACGGGAGCTCACCCCGTCGCAGGGATCCGAACTGCTGACCTTCTGATCAGCAAGTCCTAGGCTCTGTGGTTTAACCCACAGCGCCACCTATGTCCCTAGTTTTCTACAATAGGGATGGGGAAACTGCTGCTGTCCATATATTATTGGACTACAACTCCCATCATCCCTGGCAGGTGTCTGTGCTGTCTGCAGAAACTCTACTCCATAGAATTGTAGAGTTGGCCAGGACCATGAGGATCATCTAGTTCAAGCCCCAGCAGTGCAGGAATCTATTGCCCAACATGGAACTTGAATCCACAGCCCAGAAATTAAGAGACTCATGCTCCACCAACTGAGCTATCCATAAAGCTGCATAGATAAGAAATACCTATTCCATGACACTGCCATAGGTAAGAACAGGCTGCTTAGCTATAACCACAGGGTGGTAGCAGTGAGGAGCATTAGGTTCAGGGGCAATATGTGGCTCTCCATGCGTCTTATCTGGCCCTCGGAACTCTCCCCAGCTACACCACTCGCTGGCTCTGCTTTGCATCCTCCTTGAATGTTTCCCCCCCGCTGGAATGTGTCCTTGAACACTCCTAATGTCTCTTGGCTTGCCCAGGAGAAGGCTAGAGAAGGGTCAACTAGCCAGCTATACAGAGAGAACATTTACATTCTCACTGTTGTGGCTTCCATTTCGTGCCCCACCCACCACAGATAAGTGGTTTTCAGGAGGTTAATAGGACCACTCTATTCTGCCTTGGTCAGACAACACCTGATCTGTGTTCGGTTCTAGGCACGGATCTTGTCAAGCTGGAACGTGTAGAAGAAGAGGAGTTTGGATTTGATATCACTACCCAAAGGAGTCTCAAAGCAGCTAACAATCTCCTTTCCCTTCCTCCCCCACAACAAACACTCTGTGAGGTGAGTGGGGCTGAGAGACTTCAGAGAAGTGTGACTAGCCCAAGGTCACCCAGCAGCTGCATGTGGAGGAGCGGAGACGCGAACCCGGTTCCCCAGATTACGTGACTACCACTCTTGACCACTACACCACACTGGCTCTCAAAGGCCAGTGTACAAAGGAGGGTGACCCAGGATGATTAAGGGTCTGGAAGCCAGGCCTTATGAGGAACAGTTGAGGGGGTTTGGTATGTTTAGCCTGGAAAAAGAGGAGACTGAGAGGAGATGTGATAGCCATCTTCAAATATCTCAAGGGCTTTCACACAGAAGAGGGAGCAAGTGAGTTTTCTCTTGCTGTGGAGAGTAGGACCCAAACCAATGGCTGCAAGTTACAAGAAAGGAGATTCCAACTAAACGTCAGGAAGAACTTTCTGACAGTAATAGCAGTTCGACTCCCTCGGGAGGCGGTGGACTCTCCTTCCCTGGAGGTTTTCAGGCAGAGGTTGGAGGGCCATCAGTCATGGGTGCTTTAGTGGAGATTCCTGCATTGCAGGGGGTTGGACTAGATGACCCTCAGGGTCCCTTCCAACTCTACAATTCTATGATTCTATGCCTAGAGGGATGGATGTGGCCCTCTGGCTGAAGAAGATTCGCCCGCATCGCCTGCAATGGGACTTTGAATGGCAGAACCAACAACTGAGCTTAAAGACAACACTGCAACGAATACCCACAGCAGCCCCTATATATGCTCCACACAGAGGTGGCTATCCCATTATATGACCTGTCCACTGCAGCTCCTGCTTCGCCAAAGCTTAAGTTCAACGCTTGCAAGAGCTTAAGAGCTTGGCTTGCTTTGACAGGGACTTGAGGCAGCTTACAGGTAAAAATAAGCACAGCGGGTGGTGCTGTGGGTTAAACCACAGAGCCTAGGACTTGCCGATCAGAAGGTCGGCGGTTCGAATCCCCGCGGCGGGGTGAGCTCCCGTTGCTCGGTCCCAGCTCCTGCCAACCTAGCAGTTCGAAAGCACGTCAAAGTGCAAATAGATAAATAGGTACCGCTCTGGCGGGAAGGTAAACGGCATTTCCGTGCACTGCTCTGATTCGCCAGAAGTGGCTTAGTCATGCTGGCCACATGACCTGGAAGCTGTACGCCGGCTTCCTCGGCCAATAAAGTGAGATGAGCACCACAACCCCAGAGTCATCTTTAAAAGCATTTGAGGCGACGTCGACGACGACAATAATCTAAAAACAATCAAACATCAATAGAATTAAATTATCTAATCTATAAAAAGCATACCAATAATTACCAGCACGGCATCAGCCTTCTTTAAAAGCAGCCAGTTCCCAAAATTCTGTTGGAATGAGAAAGTCTTCACCTGCCAGCAGAAGGACAACGAGGAGGGAGCCAGTCTAAACTTCTCTAGGGAAGGAGTTCCAAGGTCTGGGAGCAGCCACTGAGGCCATCTTCCACGCCCCCACCAAACGTTCCTGTGAGGGTGGCGAGACCCAGAGGAGGGTGTCCCCTGAAGATCTCAGAACCCAGGCAGGTTCATATGAGGGAATATGGTCTTTCGGATAGCTTGGACCTAAGCTGTGCTGGGCTTCATAGGTCATCACCAGCATTCTGAATCGCGCCAGGAAACAGACTGGCAACCAGAGAAGCTGTTCTAGTAGTTGTAAGGCTCCTAATCTAGCAATCTGGCCGCAGCTCTTTGAGCCAGCTGAAGTCTCAAAGCACTTTTCAAAGGCAGCCCCACGTAGAGTGTGTCGCAGTAATCCAAACACTCTGTCACCGAGGCCAAATCAGTGGCAAAAGCTATTTTCCTGGTTGCAATGCGGAAATGCCATTCCACTCCCTTACACAGCATTTGGCAACCTGGTACTCTTCAGATGTTTGGGACCTCAACTCGCATCAGTCCCAACCAGCCAGCCTTTCATGGAATTGTAAAGTTGGAAGAGATCCTGAGGATCATCTAGTCCAACTCCCTGCAATGCAACTGTCCCATCAGGGATCAAACCTACAACCTTGGTATTATCAGCACCACGCTCTAACCAACTGAACTATCCTTGGTAAGTATCTGGAGAGCACCAGGTTGGCAAAGGCTGGCCTAATACGTGTCAGCCTCCATGACTGTGTATTTTCTTGCAGTACATGAGCACGAGGAAACAGGTTATTTGGGACAAATGTTTAGGTGGCTGCCTGGAGCAACAGAAAGACTCCGGAGCATAAAATGAGCCCTGTGGATGAAAGATGAGCCCTGTGGCTGCCTCCACTCTGTTCTCATAGCGGCCAAACAGATTCCCACAAGCAGGACCTGAACCTAAGAAGATAAGAATACTGGACCAAGCCAATGGGCCACCCAGGCCAGCAGCTAACCAGATGTCACTGTGGAGGCAGAACATTACACAACCATCATGGCTGGTAGCCTTAAAAAGGTAAAGGTAAAGGACCCCTGACAGTTAAGCCCAGTCGCGAACGACTCTGGGGTTGCGGCACTCATCTCGCTTTATTGGCTGAGGGAGCCAGCGTACAGCTTCCGGGTCATGTGGCCAGCATGACTAAGCCGCTTCTGGCGAACCAGAGCAGCGCACGGAAACACCGTTTACCTTCCCGCCAGAGCAGTACCTATTTATCTACTTGCACTTTGACGTGCTTTCAAACTGCTAGGTTGGCAGGAACTGGGACTGAACAATGGGAGCTCAACCCGTCGCGGGGATTCGAACCGCCGACCTTCCGATCGACAAGCCCAAGGCTCAGTGGTTTACACCACAGCGCCACCTGCGTACCCACCATGAATTTGCCCAATCCTCTTTCAAAGCCATCCAAGTTGGTGCCCAGTGGTGAGAGACAAGAGGCTGATGGGTTCTTTGGGGGCAAAAAAAAAAGAGGCTGTGGGAACGGAGCCACTGGCTTCTCTGACTAGCTTTCTGCAGAGAGCAGGTTTTGTGCTCTAGCTGCTTTCTCAGCTCCAAAACAAAGCTTCCCCCCACCTCCCCATATTGCTGGGAAGAAGTAAGGTGATCCAGGTTGGATAGTATTACTCAGATGGCTGTGTAAGCAAGACTGTCTGGGGTGGGAGTATTTAGGGGGCTTTTCTTGTCTCCTGAATTAGGTGGGAAGGGGAGGGGAGGTTGGGAAAAGGAGACCGCTCTCAGGCAAAGTTAACCCTTTGTAAGACCCCTAGAGCAGTGGTTTCCAATTAGCAAAATACTGCAGCCCCCAAGCCCACCAAACCACGGACCCGCCTTCTTTTGAGATTTTTGATCCCTCTATGGTAGTTTTTGTTATGTGAGTGGCACCACGGACCCCCTGGGTGGGTTTTGCGAACCCCCTGGGCTGTGCAGACCACTCGCCAACTGGGGATGTCTGCCCCAGAAGGAGCTTGATCCTGCCTCCATGGTAAAATGGCTCTAGGGAGGATGGTAGATCTAAAGCTGGCTGTATAAATAAAATAAAAAACCCATCCTGCTCTCACCAGATGCCATGATGGGGAAAGCACGCAGGCAGGACTGAAACACAAGAGCCCTCTCCCCTTCTATGGTTTCCAGGAACTGGCAACCAGAAGGATTGCTGTGTCCAGCTGTAGCCAGTAGCCATCGATAGCCCTCTCATCCATTCATTTGTCTTTTAAAGCCATCCAGGTTGACTGTCCTCACTGCTTCTTGTGGAAGCGAGTTCCAAAGTTTAACTTTGTGCCGCATGAGCTGCTGGATCAGGCTAATGGCCCATCTAGTTCCAGGGAGCTTCCCGCAGCAGAACGTCTCTCTCTTTCTCTGCAGCCTTCCCTAGTTATAGGGGATGACGCTTTCACCCAGCAGGGACACAAGGCCTCTTGTTATTTGTCTTGCAACAGGTTATTTGTCTTGCAAAGGGCTGCCAGCTTGGTGCGAAACATGATCTCCACATGGGAAGAGCAAGGGGGCAAGGAAAGGAAACACTGGCGGCAGGAGCTCTGGCTTGGGGGCCCGATCTGTCACCTGGCAGAGCCAAGAACAAAGGGAGAGACAAAGAATTTTCTCCTGCAGACTCACTGCAACCCGTGGAAAGAAGTTGAAAATAAATTTGTTTCACAAGCAGGGAGATTAAAAAAAAGAAGCTAGCTTAACATCTGGAGAAATAAGAGGGATTAATCTTAGTTCAAAAACTGCTGCATTGAGGATAAGTAGCCTTTCGCTTATAATAAAATAAGCTTGGAAGCGTGCAGATGATTTTAGAGCGAAGTCTCAGAAGCTGCCAACCAGCAGCTGCAGTTGACTTCAGGTCTTGCTTAGCTCTTTTGTCCCTTTCACTCGCTTAACAGGATGGGAGCAACAGATCACATTCCAAGGATGCCTTGCACAAGGTGCGATCCTAAAAGGTTTGGGCAAGCAGGCCAGCTGGAGCAGACATGGGGAAACAAAGGGAGAGGCGGACAGGGGCAGAAAGCAGGGACTTTCCTCTCTGGCTTGCCCCCTCATGCCCCCCTCTGTAGGGGGCATCTCACATTACCAGATCCCGCCAACCCCTCTGCAGAAAGCCTTTCCATCCAAGGGTGACGGTGGTGGTAAAGTCTCCCTTTCTCTCGCTCTCCTTGCGGAGTTGGCCAATGGCTGGCCACAGCTGCAGCCTGCGTGGGCTGAGCCTGTAACCGATACCCCCCAAGACATCTACCCTGGGCGACTGTCTCTAGAGCCAGAAGGCAGGCAGGGAGAGGGGAGCCCCGACGGCACATAGAAAGCAAGAGGGGAAAGCTGACATGGCCATCCCAGAGAGAAACTCGGAGGGCGGCAGACTTGCCTCCCGCTCGGCTTGCCCTCCCCAGCTTTAATGGGACATATCTGGTTCCCTCTTCGAAAGAGGCAGGATCACTTCCTGTTCTCTGCCGCACAGAGCTTTGCAAAAGGACAGCATTGTCCTCCACATGCGGGACTCCTTGTTGGAGGTGTATTGGGTTTGTGGAGCCTGCTAAAGCCGCGGAGCCCTCCCTTCTCCGCCATGAATTTTGGTTTCACCCAGGAGCAAGTGGCCTGCGTGTGCGAGGTCCTGCAGCAAGGGGGAAACATCGAGCGCCTGGGGCGCTTCCTTTGGTCGCTGCCGGCCTGCGACCACCTGCACAAGAACGAGAGCGTCCTGAAGGCCAAAGCAGTGGTGGCCTTTCATCGGGGAAACTTCCGGGAGCTCTATAAGATCCTGGAGAGCTACCAGTTCTCTCTGCACAACCACCCCAAGCTGCAGCAACTGTGGCTCAAGGCTCATTACATCGAGGCAGAGAAGCTGCGCGGGAGGCCGCTGGGAGCCGTGGGCAAGTACAGGGTGCGGCGCAAATTCCCCCTGCCTCGGACCATCTGGGACGGAGAGGAAACCAGTTATTGTTTCAAGGTAAGGAAGGCTCCCTGAAGAGACCTTTTCCGTGGTAGGCATCTCACTGAAAAGGCAGTTAGGGAGATGCAGGAAACAAAGAAACAACTGCCAACAAACACTCCATTTTTCAGCAGGCACAAAACCTGCACATTGTTCCTTGAAAACTTTCAGGGCTTGGCTTGGCAAAGTAGCCATTCAGCTGAACTCCCCGCGCTTTGGATTATTGCAAGCGCCATCTGCTTTTTTTCTGGGGGTTTTGTTGTTGTTGTTTAGTTGTGTCCGACTCTTCGTGACCCCCTGGACCAGAGCATGCCAGGCACTTCTGTCTTCCACTGCCTCCCGCAGTTTGATCAAACTCATGTTTGTAGCTTCGAGAACACTGTCCAAACATCTTGTCCCCTTCTCCTTGTGCCCTCCATCTTTCCCAACATCAGGGTCTTTTCCAGGGAGTCTTCTCTTCTCATGAGGTGGCCAAAGTATTGGAGCCTCAGCTTCACGATCTGTCCTTCCAGTGAGCACTCAGGGCTGATTTCCTTAAGAATGGATAGGTTTGTTCTTCTTGCAGTCCATGGGACTCTCAAGAATTTCTGTGGGTACTCAACAGTACCAGCACCTTTTTTCTAGAAGAAAAGCACTGCCTAAGTCTACGGCAACTTTCTTCTCATTACTATCGTACTTGTCCACTTCAGTCAGCTCAGAACAGCCCCACTGGGGATGGGATTGTGCATTGGGCAGGTCATTACATCGCATGCTCTTTCCCCCTACCTGAATGACCCCAAGTGCTCCCTCATCTCTTTGCCTCTTTCCTCCACTCTGATGCAACCTCCTTGCCCTGGAACCCCATTCAAGACCACTTAGGTGATTTACTCAGTTGGTTAGAGCATCATGCTGATAACACCAAGGTTGCAGGTTCAATCCCCATATGGGACAGTTGCATATCCCTGCACTGCAGGAGGTTGAACTATATGATCCTCAGGGTCCTTTACAACTCTATGATTTTCCTCTTCCTCGCTTTCCAATCCCTCCTCAAATCCTCCTCCTCCTCCTCGTGTTGTTGTTGTTGCTTAGTCGTTTAGTCATGTCCGCCTCTTCGTGACCCCCTGGACCAGAGCACGCCAGGCACTTCTGTCTTCCACTGCCTCCCGCAGTTTGGTCAAACTCATGCTGGTAGCTTCGAGAACACTGTCCAACCATCTCGTCCTCTGTCGTCCCCTTCTCCTTGTGCCCTCCATCTTTCCCAACATCAGGGTCTTCTCCAGGGAGTCTTCTCTTCTCATGAGGTGGCCAAAGTATTGGAGCCTCAGCTTCAGGATCTGTCCTTCCAGTGAGCACTCAGGGCTGATTTCCTTCAGAATGGATAGGTCTGATCTTCTTGCAGTCCATGGGACTCTCAAGAGTCTCCTCCAGCACCAGAATTCAAAAGCATCAATTCTTCGGCGATAAGCCTTCTTTATGGTCCAGCTTTCACTTCCATACATCACTACTGGGAAAACCATAGCTTTAACTATACGGACCTTTGTTGGCAAGGTGATGTCTACTTTTTAAGATGCTGTCGAGGTTTGTCATTGCTTTTCTCCCAAGGAGCAGGCCTCTTTTAATTTCGTGGCTGCTGTCACCTCCTTTTTGTAGGAATTAACCTTATACCAAGTCAGAACATTGGTCCATGTAGATCAGCATCATCTACACTGACTGGCAGCAGCTCTCCAGGGGCTGTCCCAGCCCTGCCTGGAGATGCTGGGAATTGAACTGGGATCTTATGCATGCAAAGCAAATGCTCTAACCCTCTGCTGCAGCCATTCCCCTTAGTCCTCATTCCCAGGTGAGAAGGTCCCACATGTAACCCTGTCCTGTCCTATTCAGCCTGCTGCCTCCCTCTTCTCCCTGCTGTCTGCATTGTGCTGTCCCTATTTTCTGAGGAACGCAGGAGCGTATGCAAAGCTTCAATTGTACGCTCCTTGGGGCAGGGCTCGGTCTTTCTCTGTATTGACCATGTTACATGATAAAGCTACACAGCAGCCCCCCACTCTTCTCTTTCGTGCCAATAGCATCTCTCGTCCCCACAAAGTTCTGGAATGAACTCCCAAGCAAGATGCAGCAGCTGTGAGGGCCTTTGGGTGACAGTCGTGCAAAAGCCGTTTATTTGGTGTGGCCTTTTTCTGCTAAGATGAATACGATTGGCCAAGGGATACAGCTTTAGTGGGTAAAGCTGTGGATGTATTTTTTTGGGGGGGGGTGAGGTGGAGTGGAATTTCATTGCTATTCATTATTGTAAATTATTTTAAATATATTTCTTTAATGTAAGGAGCTTTAAGATTGGAAAAGCAATATGTACATCATAAATAAAAAATACTTCTTCCTCAATGCTTTTCTTGGGGCACCAAGGTTTCACTTTCTCTTTGCTTTCCTACCACCTGGTACAGTACTCCTGTGCCATTCTCCCCCATTGCTATCCCCCCCCCCCCGCCTTGCTTTTGACTTCTCAAGCCCTGTCTTTGGATCCCACCCCATCACCTGGGGAGGAGTGTCACTTCTACACTGAGTACAGTGCCAACATATTGCTGAGAGCTACCTAACCTGCCATCATAATAGAACAGTATTCACTGGCATTAAAAACAGCATTTGTGGACTTTGAGTTATGGTGATAAGGGAGGGAGCGAAAAGGGGAAACAGGTTTGGGGTAGGGAGAGAAAGAAAAGGAAGGCAAACTTTAGGGATGCCGTAATTTTCCTGCCCCTGGACAGGTCTCCTGTGGCTTTAACAGTTGTGTGAGAGGAAGGAGTTCAACTTACGCAGCTTTCCCTATCTGTGTGCTAAGGGGAAATTGGCCAGCTGAAATTCTGCCCCTCAGAAACCTGTTAAAGGCACAGCAGCCCTGCCAGGAAAGGTGGGAAGAAAGAAGGTGGCAACTCTAGGAAGTTAACTTTCACAGGGAAGCTTGGTGCTTGTTGTGCCCCCTCATCCTTCAAATATATTTCTCCCTGGTTTTTAAATGAACACAAATTCTACCCTTGCCCAAGGTTTCACTGCCTAGAAGTTTAAAAATCCAACCAACCCATAAAACTTCCCAAAATGATATCTAAGATTACAAAAAAAAAGAACTCTTCACTGTCAAGAGCACAGCTATGAAGAGAGAATGATGTTATTGCCCCCTGCCGTTCATGTTATACCATAGCACCTTTAGTAGCTACAATTGTACAACAATGCACATTCAGATTAATAATAATAATCTAAACAAATAAACATAGACGGGAGGAAAAGATTCATAGAAGGCCATGGCAATTGAGGGGGGAAAGCTCATGGGCTCACTGAAAATGTCAACTTGGGATTGCTGCAACAGGTGAAACAAATTCCGGATATATACCCCTTGAGGGGGAAAAGGGTTGCCTACCCTTGACTTAAATGAAAAGGACAAAGCAAAACTAACACCCTCTGCTCTCATACAGGAGAAATCTCGGAGTGTGTTACGGGAATGGTACATCCACAACCCCTACCCATCCCCTCGTGAGAAGAGGGAGCTGGCAGAAGCCACAGGGCTGACTACCACCCAGGTCAGCAACTGGTTCAAGAACCGGCGCCAGAGGGACCGTGCGGCCGAGACCAAGGAGAGGTGAGGCTTTGTGGGTTTTTTGGGCTTTGTGGGTTCAACGAAAAGAAGGTGCAGAGCTGTCTGCTGCCTACCAACACAGAAGGGGATGAAGGGAGGAAGGAAGCCCTGATACTAGAAGTCACAGAAAAAGGGACAGGGGGAACCAGAACCCTTGGGATTACGAGAAGGGCTGGAACAGAAACCATTGAGAAATATCTTGCTTACTTTAGCCTCCGCCTCCTTTCCTCACTTTCCCAAAAGTTTCCTCTCTGCCCTTGATCTCTACTCGCTGTCCATTTTTGAGTTCCTTTGCCCTTACATTTAAGGCACAGAACATACCCCAGGCAATTGTGCTGCCAGCCTGCCTTGGCCTCCCTCCCTCTCAGTCTTCGTTTGATACACAACCATCTGCTATCAGTCCTTCGGGTCTCCTTTTTCCAAATCCAACTCTGCCATGTCCTTCTCTCTGTCTAGAACAACCTCCTTGCATCAGTGGAGGCTGGTCCAGCACAGCAAATGGGGGCACTGCCCCACCAACCTCAGTCTGACCTAAGCCAGCCCCCACCTGCCAGCCAGGGGTGATACCAGCTGTCACCTTCCTCCTCCTTAGTCAGAAGGCTCACCCATAATTACCTTTTGCCCTGCCCTTTCGAGACACAGGCCCACACTTTAAAGCACTGTGTCGGGTTTTTTGTTTTGCCCCAGCTCTTTCCCCATGTAAACCTGATCTTTACTGCTGAATCAGAACAAACAGCTATTTGGGTTTTCCGTGGATTACTGTTTGCTCTTATTCAGCAGTAAAGAGTGGGTTTTGCGACAAGGCCAAAAAAAAGAAAGACACTCAGATGCAGCATTTTAAGTGCAGACCAGTGCCTAGAAAGCACAGCACAAAAGGAAGTCTGAATGACCCTCAAGTGCTGTTCTTGTACAACTCAGAGGGCAGGAGAATAGCGACAAAACTGGAATCCATTGGTATCTGCCTGTCGTTCGCTCTGACTCCACCTACTCTTGGCCTCCCATCCTCCACTCCAAGTGGGCACCAATCACCCTGCCTTCACAAATTGTGTTCTCTATCAACTCCATATTCCTCCTAAAGTTTTCTGCAAACCCTTTCTTGGACCACGGTAGTAGCCACGCTTGTTCCAGTGCAATTTTTTGCAACTGGCTGCTTCTTTCTTCAAGCTCTCTCCTTTCTCTTCGCTTTTGATATGCCCCGTGTTCTTAGATCATGAGCCTCCAGAAAGGGAATGTGCTTGTTCAAAATGTTCTGGTTTTTAACTACAGAACACTGGTGAGATGCAACCTGTAACTGGGGCATGACCACAGCTCAGGCTAAGGCGGGTTTCACCAGAAGTGATTCCATTCTTCAAGTAATTTTAAATGCATCATTAACTGGAAGGAAAGAGTGGAAAGAGAGAGGGGGGGTGAATAAAAGAAGAGGGGGATAGTGAGGGTAAACAAAAAACATTTTTACCTAAAAGGCACTGTGTAGGTGGCACATTTGAATTTTACTGGAGCAGCAGTACTGGAGAGATGGGCTAGCCTATTCTTGTACTGTTTCCCTGATCAAAATGGCATCTCCAAAGCTTTTATTAGCCCTACAGCCAAAAGCACAGATCTCCTCTTATTTGGCATAAAGAAAACAGCAGGAAGGTTGAGGTGGACAGTCAGAAATACAAAGCCATACCTGCAAAGACTTAAAGTTACCATCTAATCCCTGCTTCCCCAATGCCTATTATCTTAGTAAGCACCCAGCAGGACTGATTCCTTAACAATCTGGCCCCCAGAGACAATATTCTCCTCTTCCACTTCTTGCAGGGAGAACAGCGACGGTGGTGCACTGAAGGAAGGAAGGGGCCTTCCACGAGAAAGACACCTACTCTCCAGCTCCGATGACGAGAGCTCTCCCATTGACAGCCCTGCAGCTCATGCATCCAGCCCCTCACTGCTCTACTCTGGTTTGCCACTTTCGGCTCCAGCGGGAAACTCCATTCACAACGTCCAGAGGGTAGATTTTCTGCAGCACCAGCCGCTCCACAATAGTCTCCTGGGGCCCCTCACTTCTACCCTTGTAGATCTGGGCTCCTGAAACTGAACAGTGGAGCACCCACTTCATCCCCAATGGACTGTTCCTTTGTTCTCCTTCCGTACTTCTAAGCACTCTCCTGCCCAGCCAGCACAGGAACTCACAAAGCATCTCCTCATCTCCTCCTAACCTTTAGGGGGCAGTCATAAGAGGAGGAGGCCTATGGGCACCTGCAAGGCCATGCTATTGCCCCCACAATTCAAAATTCAGATTTTGACAGACAAACCATTCCCGAATCCCACCAGATCTCTACTTTCTGCATTGTTAAAAAAAAAAAAAGCAGCAAAACTTTGTGTTGTTATAGAAAAGAACATATTTCTGCTAAAATCAGAAACCACTTCTGCGGGAAGGGGGGATTTCGAGCAGATGGGATTTCTGCTCTCAACACATTCCCTGATCCCACACCCCCTGGAAAAATTCCCAAATCTTGCTCCCCGCATACACTAGTTGATCATGAGGGCCCAGCCTTCCTACCTTATAAAAGAGTGGCATGAAATGCGCCTGATGGCAAAGCAAGGGGAGCTCTGTCCCCATGGAACCAAGCAAAGGTGAAGCAGTTAGCAAAGCAACAAAATCGGTACGAAGCAGAGTACAAGTGCATGCAGCAGCTTAAACTGGGAAGCGCAGGAGCATCCAATTAAGAAGGTTAATTAGGGCTTTAGCCTAGACAGCTGAGCACATGCAAACACTTACCCTCTGGAGACAGCAAGAGCAATTAAAGTGCCTTGCAGAGGTTCCAACAAGCTTAATGACTTTGACAGAGGACTGTAATGAAGCACTTGATAATTTTGTGGGCATCCGTATGGGAAATAATGGCCTACTGAGCCTACATTATACTTACAGCCATTCTGGGAGAGGAATGTTAAGAGACAGAAGCTCTTTTGTAAGAAGGTTCAGCAAGAATCAATCACTGGAGTTGGGAGACAATTCTTGAATGTGATTCTTGGAGAGGGTGGGATGGGATCAAGACCTGCTGCGGGTTGCTTGCTTCTGCTAGACCCTCTTTTTCTACCCCACTGAGCCATGTTACTCTGTATTGCCAATTTTCTAATAAATTAAAAACCGAAAAGGGTGGCGTCCTCTTGCATACTGACACAAAGCTGGCTAGCTCAGCTGGTTAGAGTATGGTGCTGATTACGCCAAGCTTGCAGGTTCAATTCCCATATGGGGCAGCTGCATATTCCTGCATTGCAGGGGCTTGGGGTAGATGACCCTTAAGGTCCCTTTCAACTTTATGATTCTACAAAGGCTTTTCTAGGGACTGTCTGGCACTCAAAATAAGAATCCACTGCCGACTTGCCTTCCTGCACAAACCTCGTGGCAGGTGTCACTTCCTTCCCTCTCCAAAGGCTCTACCAGCATCCCATATTAGGGAAGACTCAACTTTACAAGGACACCATCCTGCTAGCCTGAGTGTTTTGTGCCCAATGGTGATTTAGTACATGCACAGCAATGCTCTACTGTGGGTTTTTGGAGGGTAGTTAAAAATGCTGACATTCTATACACACTTACTTGGGACTAAGGTCCATTTAACTCAATGGGGTTTTATTTCTGAATAGACATGACCCTATACGAGTGACCTGAAAATCAGGAAGTCCCCAGAACAATTATCACTGCTGCCATGAACTCACTTGGCAAACCACTATTGTTTCAGATGGGAATAATAATACTACCTAAGCTACTTGAAGATTACAGAGATACCATTGTAAGTAAGAAGCAACTATAAGAAGTGTCCATAAATGTAAAGCAAAGACTTGGCTAGAGGCAAGCAGGCTGTGACATGAGCCTACAGCATGTTTTCAGTTGCCCAAAAGCAACTGTTTGAAAAACACAGGTGGCTGCTTCATGCGCACCAGTTGCTGCTGCACAAAAATTGATTGGGCCAATTAATTCCTGGGCCCGAACAAGAAATATTCAGGGACCAGTTCTGAAAGGACCACAGGCAGAAGAGGCACAGAGGCACCAAAATGGTTATCTTAGTTTAAAGCTAGCTTTTATTTTTAAATATAAATAGAGATGAGGACAAAACCTGCCAATAAATATATAAATACATAAATACAACTGTGGTAAAAGCCCATTCAAGCCTGAAACAGAATTTCAAACACAAACTGATTGTGAACAGGGGGAGGGATAATTTAAGAGGTGGGTAAAAGGATGGGTGACTGAGAAGGTTTCCCCCAGGCAGGATGTAAACCAACTACAAATGTTGTATAGACACTCACTTCATAAGTACAATCTTCCTGACGCCCTACTTTCTCAATGTGAAGCACCCACCCTTGTTAGCTCAGTATCAAGTGAGTCTTTCTGACTCCCTTTCAACCACAGACCAAAGATATAGAATTGTTCCTTCCTCAAGATTTCTGCTGTACAGGCCCATTGTGTCAGTGGGGACACAATGCTACCCAGAGCAAACTTCAAACTCATTCATTTGCTCCAGGTAAACAGCAAAAGAGCACATGAAGCAACTCACTACGTAACAAAGCATCAAATCTGCTGTGGAGCAAACGAGTCCATGTGGACTTCAGAAATTGCATTTCATGCTGCAGCAAAATTTTCCTATGAACTTAAGGTACTAGGAACTAAACTGACTGGGCAGGATAAAACTTACTCCCTGAGCTAAACTCTGGTGAAGGGGATGACGAGTTAAAATCTTTGGCAATAAATATGGACCTGGGGTTTTGAAAAACAGGCACCCAACTTTCCATTGTGCTAGACATGGTGCTAGTCAGGGTTAAAAAAAACTTTTTTTAAAAAGCCACGCGGATCCTTTTTTCAAAATCAAAGACATTCATTTCAAATGGAGTAGTGCTCCTTGGCTAGGGGCAGGGAACTTGTGGCCCTCCAGATTTTGCTGGAGTGTAACTTCCATTATTCCTGACCATTTAGACATTTGGCTAGGACTAATGGGTGTTACAGGACCCAACAACAGGAGGAGGGCCACCGGTTCCCCACCCCTGTCCTAAAACAAAGGTTAAGTCCCATGTAAACTGCCAAAACTTCAGTTGGCCAAGCATGGTCCTACCACCCAGGCCCAGGGATTTCCCTTCCCCTTGCCAATGTCGCTAACATTATGTTGCAGACCACCAGAGGCCAGCTTTGGTAGCCTTAAACACAGTGGAAGCCACTGTGGGTCTCTGGTGGAGTATAACATAAAATGCATGTGGTTACTGGGAAAAGTCCACCTGTGCTTTTCCTTCTCAGGAACCACCTTCTGGAAAGCCAGAGGCACAGCAGCTGATGTGGGGTGCAAGCAGCAGAAAGGAGCAGAAAATAGGGGAGTGTTTATGTGCTACAGGTGGCAACAAAGGGACTCCTGTCTCCTCCCTTTTTTTCTACACCCCCTACATTACTGTCCCAGCCAATGGGGTCCATGGAGCCCCTGTTGTCTGGCATGTTGCTGAAAAGGGGGAGGGAGCACACACTTCATTGCAAACCCATCAGCTGGAAAATTCTGTAACCATTGATAACAGACCGGAGTAAAGGGCCATCTTTCCCATGAATGGATACGCCATTACCGTTACAGTGCGAAGAGTCAGGGGATAAGCTTGAGTAAAGAGAGGTCACCAAAGGTCTGGGAGCCATGGAGGGATTTTTCAGCGAGCAGCATGTGGAAAGGTTTGGGCGGCTCTGGGTCCTCCTCCCCACTGGAGAAGTCGTCCCTCACGATGCGATTATTCAGGCGGCTGAACCGCCGAGCTTTCATGCTGGAAGAGATGCAACATAAAATGATAAGCTTATCACTCAAGTGCTTATTTCCGGCCGACAATTCATCTGTAATCGCCAGATTGCAGTGAACGCGGCACATAACGAAGCCACCATGTGATGGCTGCCATTACGAGGTGACAAAAACAAGGCGATGTGAATTGGAACGCAAGGGAACTTCACTTATGTGGATTGCCATGAAGCGACAGGGGGCGATAATCATAACACGACCCCCCCCCTTGCCAATTAATGAGTGCCTGCTTTTAGAAAAATCAAATATAAACAAACACTCGTTAACCTCCCTGTGTGATGGAGAGGATGCTGCACAGTGGATCATAACATGATAACAGCTCATATAACTGTTGTATGCGCTCAAGTTACCAAATGACAGAAGCACTTGGAATTGGAATGTCTTTCTTTTCATGGTTAAGTTCACAGGGAGATAGAAAGGCAAAGCTTCCTACCAAAAGGATCCAACACCCTGAGATATACATAGGAAGCTGCCTTAGACCAACCCTCACAATTTGTCTATCTAGCTCAGTACTGTCTACTCTGACTGGCAGCGGCTCTCCATGGTCTTTCCCATTCTCAGGGAGAATTCTCTGTGGCAGCCCCTTAAACTGGAGGATTCCCTCTCCACAGGGATTCACCCGTGCAGTTTTTACTGGATGCTGAATCATAAAATTGTAGAGTTGGAAGGGAGCCGGAGGGTCATTCAGTCCAAACCCGCCTCCCCTCAATATGCAGGAATCTCAACACACGGTCCCCCATCCAATTTGAAACCATACCAGAACCTGCTTAACTTCTGCAAATGTAATTCCAGTTTTATCGCTGCACCACTAGGAGGACTTTCTAAAGACTCGCCTGTTCACCCTGGCATTTGATGCCTGAGATAAACATTTTAGGACCCAGCCTATTCTCTTGACTGCAATCTGTTTTAACTATTTTTAATACTGTTATTTCCAAATCTTTGTGAGCTGCCCTGGGACCTCATGGTGACAGGCTGGTAAGGAAACAACAACAACAGGTCCTTTTTAAACTGCAGGTGCTGGAGATTTATCCTGGACATTTGGCCTGCAAAACAGGAGCTCTATCACATCTGTGTCCTTGAACCACAGTGCTGACCTAGAAACTGGCCTGCTGGGTGACTACCCAAGGAACAGCCTCATGCCACAGCGTGTTTTGATCAGCGCCAGACATACCAATATGGCTTCCGCTCTTGCTTTGTCATCATACGCCACAGCTGGGCCAGCTCTCTCGTAGCAACTGTGGAGGCCATGCCTGGGCAAGCGCTGCCAAGAGAAAAGACGGTTTGGTCATCCAGATTCACAAGAGGCGGGCGCACGTGAGGCTTTGCCAATGTCCCCATGTTCCCTTGAGGTTTCAAGAGAAGCAGGTTGCCTTGGCAACCCCCTGCCAAGCTAGGCTTTTGCTCTCCATAGAGACCAGTGTTTAAAAACTAGCATGCGCACACACCTGAATGAAACCTAACCCCTCCCTCCCCACCCCCGCCCAAACACACACCTTGCCAGCCCATGGCTGCAAGGAGCTTGTGCAGAATATATTCTTCCCTTGAAGCACCTAGAATTTTATCATTAAATCAGCTAGCAGGCAACAGAAGAAGTGCAACCCAATCTAGGCCCGTTTCCAGAGACAGCTTGTGATGTTGCAATTTTCTTCTCCCTGGTTACAGGTCTTGATAAAATCATTGGCATCTCAACTTTCATATAGGGGGGATTTAAAAATAAATGTATTCAGGGTGGCTGAGAAACACACAAGCACAGCCTGTGCAGGTGCTGAGTCCTAGAAGTTGGGCCTTTAATACAAGTCTCAAATTCTTGACTAGGGGACAGATTTGTAATTGCAGCAGAGAGTTGTGCAGTTGACAGATGCAAGGGTGATTGGGGTAGGAAAAAGTGTTCCCAGTAGTCGCCCCAACCCAATTATGGGAATCCCTCCCACTGCACAGAACACTCTTTGGAAGCTTTGAACAGTTTACCTATTTGTTCAGGGTTAGGCTGGGGAAATTGACATTAAAATGTAAAGGTAAAGGGACCCCTGACCATTAGGTCCAGTCGTGACCGACTCTGGGGTTGCAGCGCTCATCTCCCTCATCTCCGAGGGAGCCGGCGTACAGCTTCCGGGTCATGTGGCCAGCATGACTAAGCCACTTCTGGAGAACCAGAGCAGCGCACAGAAACGCCGTTTACCTTCCCGCCGGAGCGGTACCTATTTATCTACTTGCACTTTGACGTGCTTTCGAACTGCTAGGTTGGCAGGAGCAGGGACCGAGCAACGGGCGCTCACCCCATCACGGGGATTCGAAGCGCCGACCTTCTGATCGGCAAGTCCTAGGCTCTGTGGTTT